AACCCTAACCCTAACCCTAACCCTAACCCTAACCCTAACCCTAACCCTAACCCTAACCCTAACCCTAACCCTAACCCTAACCCTAACCCTAACCCTAACCCTAACCCTAACCCTAACCCTAACCCTAACCCTAACCCTAACCCTAACCCTAACCCTAACCCTAACCCTAACCCTAACCCTAACCCTAACCCTAACCCTAACCCTAACCCTAACCCTAACCCTAACCCTAACCCTAACCCTAACCCTAACCCTAACCCTAACCCTAACCCTAACCCTAACCCTAACCCTAACCCTAACCCTAACCCTAACCCTAACCCTAACCCTAACCCTAACCCTAACCCTAACCCTAACCCTAACCCTAACCCTAACCCTAACCCTAACCCTAACCCTAACCCTAACCCTAACCCTAACCCTAACCCTAACCCTAACCCTAACCCTAACCCTAACCCTAACCCTAACCCTAACCCTAACCCTAACCCTAACCCTAACCCTAACCCTAACCCTAACCCTAACCCTAACCCTAACCCTAACCCTAACCCTAACCCTAACCCTAACCCTAACCCTAACCCTAACCCTAACCCTAACCCTAACCCTAACCCTAACCCTAACCCTAACCCTAACCCTAACCCTAACCCTAACCCTAACCCTAACCCTAACCCTAACCCTAACCCTAACCCTAACCCTAACCCTAACCCTAACCCTAACCCTAACCCTAACCCTAACCCTAACCCTAACCCTAACCCTAACCCTAACCCTAACCCTAACCCTAACCCTAACCCTAACCCTAACCCTAACCCTAACCCTAACCCTAACCCTAACCCTAACCCTAACCCTAACCCTAACCCTAACCCTAACCCTAACCCTAACCCTAACCCTAACCCTAACCCTAACCCTAACCCTAACCCTAACCCTAACCCTAACCCTAACCCTAACCCTAACCCTAACCCTAACCCTAACCCTAACCCTAACCCTAACCCTAACCCTAACCCTAACCCTAACCCTAACCCTAACCCTAACCCTAACCCTAACCCTAACCCTAACCCTAACCCTAACCCTAACCCTAACCCTAACCCTAACCCTAACCCTAACCCTAACCCTAACCCTAACCCTAACCCTAACCCTAACCCTAACCCTAACCCTAACCCTAACCCTAACCCTAACCCTAACCCTAACCCTAACCCTAACCCTAACCCTAACCCTAACCCTAACCCTAACCCTAACCCTAACCCTAACCCTAACCCTAACCCTAACCCTAACCCTAACCCTAACCCTAACCCTAACCCTAACCCTAACCCTAACCCTAACCCTAACCCTAACCCTAACCCTAACCCTAAAGTCTAAAGTCTAAAGTCTAACCCTAAGTCTAAGTCTAAAGTCTAAAGTCTAAAGTCTAAAGTCTAAAGTCTAAAGTCTAAAGTCTAAAGTCTAACCCCAGTCTAAGTCTAAGTCTAAGTCTAAAGTCTAAGTCTAAGTCTAACCCCAGTGTCTAAGTCTAAGTCTAACCCCAGTGTCTAAGTCTAACCCCAGCGTCTAAGTCTAAGTCTAACCCCAATGTCTAAGTCTAAGTCTAACCCCAGTGTCTAAGTCTAACCCCAGCGTCTAAGTCTAACCCCAGTGTCTAAGTCTAACCCCAGTGTCTAAGTCTAAGTCTAACCCCAGTGTCTAAGTCTAAGTCTAACCCCCAGTGTCTAAGTCTAAGTCTAACCCCAGTGTCTAAGTCTAACCCCAGTGTCTAAGTCTAACCCCAGTGTCTAAGTCTAACCCCAGTGTCTAAGTCTAACCCCAGCGTCTAAGTCTAAGTCTAACCCCCAGTGTCTAAGTCTAAGTCTAAGTCTAACCCCAGTGTCTAAGTCTAAGTCTAACCCCCAGTGTCTAAGTCTAAGTCTAACCCCAGTGTCTAAGTCTAACCCCCAGCGTCTAAGTCTAAGTTTAACTCCAGTGTCTAAGTCTAAGTCTAACCCCAGTGTCTAAGTCTAACCCCAGTGTCTAAGTCTAACCCCAGCGTCTAAGTCTAACCCCCAGTGTCTAAGTCTAAGTCTAACCCCAGCGTCTAAGTCTAAGTCTTAACCCCCAGTGTCTAAGTCTAAGTCTAACCCCAGTGTCTAAGTCTAACCCCAGTGTCTAAGTCTAACCCCAGTGTCTAAGTCTAAGTCTAACCCCCAGTGTCTAAGTCTAAGTCTAACCCCAGTGTCTAAGTCTAAGTCTAACCCCCAGTGTCTAAGTCTAAGTCTAACCCCCAGTGTCTAAGTCTAAGTCTAACCCCAGTGTCTAAGTCTAACCCCAGTCTAAGTCTAAGTCTAAGTCTAAGTCTAACCCCAGTGTCTAAGTCTAAGTCTAAGTCTAACCCCAGTGTCTAAGTCTAAGTCTAAGTCTAACCCCAGTGTCTAAGTCTAAGTCTAACCCCCAGTGTCTAAGTCTAACCCCAGTGTCTAAGTCTAAGTCTAACCCCAGTGTCTAAGTCTAACCCCAGTGTCTAAGTCTAACCCCAGTGTCTAAGTCTAAGTCTAAGTCTAACCCCAGCGTCTAAGTCTAAGTCTAACCCCCAGTGTCTAAGTCTAACCCCAGCGTCTAAGTCTAAGTCTAACCCCCAGTCTAAGTCTAAGTCTAACCCCAGTGTCTAAGTCTAACCCCAGTGTCTAAGTCTAACCCCAGTGTCTAAGTCTAAGTCTAACCCCCAGTGTCTAAGTCTAAGTCTTACCCCAGTGTCTAAGTCTAAGTCTAACCCCCGTCTACCACCCTCCGCACCTACCTTTTTCACCTACCTTCCAGTGTCCTTCCAGTCGTTGCCGTGACAAAGCAAGACACACAACATACGTGCATTGTTTATTTGTTTATTACAGTCTGTTTCTGCAAGGCAGGACTCATACAATCATATACATACGCGCTATACCAGCAACTACACATTGAGAAGCAAAACATGTAATGAATATGGGTCTCTGATTCCAAGACTTAGTTTATAGGCGCAGCATCCACACATTCTGTACATGGCACAACACAGTTTACAGGCGCAACTTAACACATATTGCATACATGGCACGACGCAATTTACAGGCGCAGCAGATGCATATGCAGTACACTTTAAGACATGGTTCGCATAGATGTCAGACCAACCAGAGAAAGGGTACAAAGCCTCCACACCCCATTAGTGACACCACACTTGTGAGAATGTTGCATACTGCAACCCACCTCAAAAGCAGTGCAGATCTCAGCCCACCCAAAGACATTGCAATTCTCAGAATGGCCACAAAGGGGCGCGAGTCTCAGACTGGCCGGGAAGGAACAAAATCGCCTCCGACGGCCCTTGGTTACGGGGTTGGGTTAGCCCTGCCTAGGAGCAAACAAAGCAAGGCTAGCCCAACCCCGTAACCAAGGCAAAGCTAAAGCCAATTCGGCTTACATTAATTGAATGTAAAACTAAAGCCAATTTGGTTGAAGCCAATTGAATGTAAAGCTAAAGGTCAATTTGGTTGAAGTCAATTGAATGCAAAGCCAAAGCCAATTTGGTTGATGCAAAATGATTGCAAGGCTAAAGCCAATTTGGTTGAGATAAATTGAACGCAGATGCTGAAATCAGCGCAACTCTCAAAATGGCCGCAATGGGGCGCGAGTCTCAGACTGGCCGGAAGGAACAAAATCGCCTCCGACGGCCCTTGGTTACGGGGTTGGGTTAGCCCTGCCTAGGAGCAAACAAAGCAAGGCTAGCCCAACCCCGTAACCAAGGCAAAGCTAAAGCCAATTTGGCTTACATTAATTGGATGTAAAACTAAAGCCAATTTGGTTGAAGCCAATTGAATGTAAAGCTAAAGTCAATTTGCTTGAAGCCAATTGAATGCAAGGCTAAAGCCAATTTGGTTGAAGTCAATTGAATGTAAAGCTAAAGCCAATTTGGTTGAAGGCAATTGAATGCAAAGCTAAAGCCAATTTGGTTGAAGCCAATTGAATGCAAAGCCAAAGCCAATTTGGTTGAAGTCAATTGAATGCAAGACTAAAGCCAATTTGGTTGAAGCCAATTGAAGGCAAAGCCAAAGCCAATTTGGTTGATGCAAAATGATTGCAAGGCTAAAGCCAATTTGGTTGAGATAAATTGAACGCAGATGCTGAAATCAGCGCAACTCTCAAAATGGCCGCAATGGGGCGCGAGTCTCAGACTGGCCGGGAGGAACAAAATCGCCTCCGACGGCCCTTGGTTACGGGGTTGGGTTAGCCCTGCCTAGGAGCAAACAAAGCAAGGCTAGCCCAACCCCGTAACCAAGGCAAAGCTAAAGCCAATTTGGCTTACATTAATTGAATGTAAAGCTAAAGCCAATTTGGTTGAAGCCAATTGAATGTAAAGCTAAAGTCAATTTGGTTGAAGCCAATTGAATGTAAAGCTAAAGCCAATTTGGTTGAAGTCAATTGAATGTAAAGCTAAAGCCAATTTGGTTGAAGCCAATTTAATGCAAAGCCAAAGCCAATTTGGTTGAAGTCAATTGAATGCAAAGCCAAAGCCAATTTGGTTGATGCAAAACGATTGCAAGGCTAAAGCCAATTTGGTTGAGATAAATTGAACGCAGATGCTGAAATCAGCGCAACTCTCAAAATGGCCGCAATGGGGCGCGAGTCTCACACTGGCCGGGAGGAACAAAATCGCCTCCGACGGCCCTTGGTTACGGGGTTGGGTTAGCCCTGCCTAGGAGCAAACAAAGCAAGGCTAGCCCAACCCCGTAACCAAGGCAAAGCTAAAGCCAATTTGGCTTACATTAATTGGATGTAAAGCTAAAGCCAATTTGGTTGAAGTCAATTGAACGTAAAGCTAAAGCCAATTTGGTTGAAGTCAATTGAATGTAAAGCTAAAGCCAATTTGGTTGAAGTCAATTGAATGTAAAGCTAAAGCCAATTTGGTTTACATTAATTGTATGTCAAGCTAAAGCCAATTTGGTTGAAGAAGCCAATTGAATGCACACGCTGAAATCAGCGCAACTCTCAAAATGGCCGCAAAGAGGCATGAGCCTGAAAGTGGCCTGGAGGGAACTCAGATGGCATCAGAAGGAAGCGTTGATTGGCCTGGGAGCAGAAGGGCCCTCAGGAAGGGTGCGGGTGGGTTGGATCGCTGGGCTGAGGCCGATGGGATGAACTGCAATGAGACCGAGCGCCGCATCCCACACGCTGCCTGCGATGACCTTGGTAGGGGCTTGTGGCAGAGTGACGGGAAGATCATGGAAAGGGAACGGAGCGGGGATTCGGGTAACGGTTGACCGAACCGAGCTGGCGGTGAGTGTGGGAGGCCTGGAAAGCCAATGGCGTCGCAGGGGGGAAGTCATCGACTGGAAGCGTCGAAGGCATCTTCACCTGTAATACAGAGACACGCTTTAGAAGGAGGAACGCCGAGACCCAAACTGTGCTCACCGTCAGCCCACCCCCACAAAACATGGAAGCCAAACACCGCTCTAAGAAAAGGCTTCAGAGTAAGGTTAGGAGTATTTAACAGGAAAGGTGTTAGGGTTAGGTACATCAGGATTAGGGTTAGAGTGACCGTTAGGGAAGGCCAAGGCAAAGGCAGGAGCAAAAGGCAAGGAGAACAGCCGAGGGAACGCCAAAACAGAGGGCAAAGGGATGGGAAAGACATGGAGAACGCCAAAGGTCGCGTCAGAGGTCAGGCCCAAGGAGAAGGCCGCAGAGAACGCCAGAATGGAGACCAAAGAGATCGACGCAGAAGGCCAAAATGGAGGGCGAGGTCCGTGAGAACGCTGCAGGGAAGGCCGATGCAGAAGGTCAAGGGCAATGGCCAAAGAGAATGCGGCACAAAAGGCCAAAACCAAAGGCAAAGAGAATGCTGTAGGAGAAGACAAAACAAGAGGCCAAAGGGAATGGGCAAAGAAGGCCAGGAGCAATGGCCAAAAAGAACGTGGAAGGGAACGCCAAAATAGAAGCCAAAGAGAACGCCGCAGGGAACGCCAGAACAGGAGGCCAAAGGAAATGGGGCAAAGAAGGCCGAGGGCAACGGCCAAAGAGAACGCAGCCATGAACGCCAGAACTGAAGGCCAAAATAATGCTGTAGGGAACGCCAGAACGGGAGGGAAAGTGAACGTGGCAAAGAAGGCCAAGGACAAAGGCCAAGGGAATGTGGCACAGATGGCCAAAGCCGAAGGCCAAAGAAAACGCAGTGAAGGTGGCCGAGGGCAAATGGCCGAGAGAATGCCACAGGGAACGCCAAAACAGGAGGGCAAGAGAACGCAGCAGGGAAAGCCAAGGGCAAGGAGAACGCTGCAGTGAAAGGCTGGAGGCGATAACACAGAAAGAAAAGGACAGGCAGCATCCAGGGCACCACGAAGTGCAATGAAGAGCTCTGTGAACCCTACCTTGTGCCTCGCTAAGTAATGAGTAAACACCGGTGGGTGAGCATCGCCCTTACCTGCTGGGCAGACAATTACCGGCCAGCAAAGCGGGGTTCCGGGCATCCCAGGAAATGCAGATTCCGGTTCCTTGCTGCTGCCTGAAGAGCCGCGCATCTCCGTGCTGTCCTTACAGCGCTCTGCAGCGCCGCAGCTCCGCTGCCACCTGTGGGACACAACGCAGTAATGAAGGCGCTGCCCCGCATTTGTGGGGCTGCACCCTGAGCACAATGCTGTAATGATGACACAAGGGTTGTAATTAATTATAATTAACGTTAGGGATAGAATTAATGCTATTGATAGGGTTGAAGTTACAGTTGGTCTAACATCAGTATTCTGCACTACAATTACAATTAAGGTTATTTGACAAAACATGGGGCATTATTTTTACAGCAGCATTCAGGGTAAGAGACATTTTCAACACTGGGTTTGGTCTACAGATACGCTGCAGGTTAACAAAGTTATCGTTAGAACTCCCATTCAGCTGTGGGTTCAGGTTAAGGTTAATGTTAATGTATCCTCCCAGCTAATCCCAGAGTGCCAAAAGCAAAGGGAAACAAAACTCCCGTGGAAAGCCAAGGTAAATGCAAAGCAAACAGCCAAGCTAAGGCAAGGGCAAAAGCAAAGAGAGCACCAATGGAAAGCCAAGGGGAGGACAAGGAGAACGCAACAGGAAAGGCCGAGGGCAAAGGCCAAGAGAACGCAGCACAAAATGCTGAAACAAAAGGCCGAGGGAACACGGCATGGAATGCCCAGGAAAGGGCTAAGAAAACATGGCAGGAAGTGCCAAAATAGGAGGCAATAGAATGCTGCCGGGAACGCCAAAATCAAATGCTGAAGAGAATGTGGCTACAGAAAGCCAAGGGCAATGGCCAAGAGAACATAGCATGGGACACAATAACAGGGGGGCAAGGGAATGCCCAGACAAGGGCAAGGGCCAAGAGAACGTGGAAGGAAATGCCAAGGATGATGGCCAAGAGAACACGGCAAGAAACGCCAAAACAGGAGGGCAGGAGAACGCAGCAGGGAACGCCAAAACTGAATGCTGAAGTGAATATGGCAAAGAAAGCCAAGGGCAACGGCCGAGAGAAACCAGCATGGAACACAAAAACAGGAGGACAAGAGGATGCCCAACCAATGGCAACGGCTAAGAGAACATGGAAGGAAATGCCAGAACAGGAGGGCGAGAGAACGCGGCACGGAACGCCAAAACTGAATGCTGAAGTGAATGCGGCAAAGAAAGCCGAGGGCAGCGGCCAAGAGAACGTGGCATGGAACACAAAAACAGGAGGGCAAGAGAATGGAGTAGGGAACAGCAAGGGCAAAGGGAATGAAAACGCTGCAGTGAAAGGCCGGAGACAAGGAGAACACAGAAAGAAAAGGACAGGCAGCATCCAGGGCACCACGAAGTGCAATGAAGAGCTGTGGGAGCACCGTGCTGTGCCATGCTAGGGAATGGATAAACACTGGTGGGTGTGCATTGCCCTTACCTGCTGGGCAGACAATTACCAGCCAGCAAAGCAGGGTTCCAGGCATTCCAGGAAATGCAGATTCCGGTTCCTTGCTGCTCCCATAAGAGCCACGCATCTCCATGCAGTCCTTATGGCACTCAGGAGCGCCGCAGCCTGCTGCCACCTGTGGGACACAAAGCAGTAATGAAGGCACTGCCCTGCAGATGTGCCTCTTTCACAAACCTGCACTCCTTTCTCTGATCAACGTGGCTGCGCTCTGCGCACGATTCTGCTTACCGGCAAGCACTGAGCTGGGAACAACAGACAAGGAGAAGGCTGAGGTACCCAACAACATCCATCTTCCATCTTCTCTGATAACTGCTCATTATACACCGCCCTCACCTTTGGTTTGGTAGGTGGGGATTCAGGAAGCAATGCCGGTCCCACAGACCCCTCCCTATCCCACACTGTGATGGGAGATCAGGTTCTGGAGCACCTGAGGACCCGAGCATCCAGGAGTCTTTGGGTCCTGATGAGACGAGTCCCAGAGCTCTGAGGGAATTCAGTGCTGCAGTCACCGAGCCACTCTCAGTGGTATTTGAGAAGTCGAGGCAGTCAGGTGAAGTCCCTGGTGAGCAGAAAAAAGGTGACAGCACAGCTGTTACTGCAGATATAAAGTGTGACCCTGGGAACTGCCAACATGTCAGTCTCACCTCTGTGCTGCAAAAAGTCATGGAGCAGATCCTCCTGGAAGGGACTCTGAAGCACGTTCCAGTGCGTCACCACCCTCTGTGTGAAAAGCTTCCTCCTAATAACCAACCTAAACCTCCCCTGTCTCACATTAAAACCATTCCCCTTGTCCTATCACGATCCACCCTTGTAAACAGCCATTCCCCTTCCTGCTGTTCCCCCCTTCAAGTACTGTGAGGCTGCAATGAGGTCCCCCCCAAGCCTTCTCTTCTCCAGGCTGAACAAGCCCACTTCCCTCAACCTTTCCTTGTAGGAGAGCTGCTCCAACCATCTGATCATCTCAGTGCCTCCTCTGGACCCGCTCCGTGAGCTCCACGTCCTTCCTGTGCTGGGGGCCCCAGGCCTGGATGCAGCGCTGCAGATGGGGCCTCACAAGAGCAGAGCAGATGGGGACGATCACCTCACTCTCCCTGCTGGCCGCTCCTCTTTTAATGCAGCCCAGAACACAGCTGGCCTTCCAGGCTGCAAGCCCGCTCTGCTGGCTGACGTCCAGCTTCTCACCCACCAGGATCCTTCTCTGTGGGGCTGCTCTCAAGGTGTTCTTTGCTGAGTTTGCACAAACATCTGGGATTGCCCCTTCATCAGTGACATTGACAGTAGGGTGGAGTGCACCCTAATGACACCGAGCTGTGGGGTGCGGTGACACACCAGAGGGACGGGATGCCATCCAGAGGGACCTCAACAGGCTGAGTAGTGGCACTCAGCAACGCGCCTTCCAGCCCAGAAAGCCAACCGTATGCTGGGCTCCATCCAAAGATGTGCGGTCAGCAGGCGAAGGGAGGTGGTCCTGCCCCTCTGCTCTGTGCTGGGAGGCCTCACCTGGAGGTGCTGTGTGTGGATGTGGATGCCTGCAGTGCAGGACAGACGTGGAGCTGTTGGAGCACATCCAGAGAATGGCCACAGATATGAACCGAGGGATGGAACGCCTTTCCTATGAAGAAAGAGAGCTGGAGCTGCTCAGCCTGCAGAAGTGAAGGCTCCGAGGTGATCTGGTAACAGCCTTTCAACACCTGAAGGGAAGAACAAGGAAAGATTTAGCCTAGATATGAAGAAAATCCTGTACAGTGATGGTGGTGACACGGCAGAACAGATTACCCAGACATGATGGATGCCCTGTCCCTTCCAAGGTGAGGCTGGGTCAGGCTCTGGGCACTGATCTGGCTGTGGATGTTCCTGTTCGTTGTGTGGCAGTTGGACGAGATCACCACCAATGGTACCAAGTACTCCAGCTGGGATAATCCACATCCGTCAGAGCCTCTCTGGGCCAGTCCCAGTATTCAGCAGAGCAGGGGCTTCACTTCATCACGCTGTTGGGAACCAGAGCTGCAGAGCATTGAATGCAGGTCAGGGGGTGGGAGGAAGAAGAATTGGGGTTTGGGTGCCGTACAGATTAGGAAACTGACAGCATCTCCAGACAATTAGGATGGAGATATCTGGGGTGATGCTGAGTACAGCGGTCCAGAAGAGGACAAACCTTGGCTTCCTATAAAGATGAAGACTTATTACACCTAAGGGTGCACAGAATGCCCTTAAACAACTCTGCACGGTTGGAAGCAGTGCATAACAGCCCTGAAATAAAGGAAGAAGAAGAAGTTACTCCATTCCAAAGATGAACACTCAGCCCACACTGCCAAGGAAGTAGTCTCCAGGTACAGATGCTACCCTTATGGCTTCCACCCCTTAAAAGTGGTCAGGATACTATAAAAAAACAAACAAACAAACAAAAAGAACAAAACACACACACAAAACACACAAGGGAAGATTGCAGCCCTGAAATGAAGAAGAAACCACTTACACCCTTCTCAAAGGCCAAAACTCACTCATGCTCCACAGGAGACAGTCTCCAGAGATCAACATTGCCCATACATCTGTCAGCACTTAGATGTGGTCAGGATGCCCCAAAAACCAAAAGGGAAAGGTCACAGCCCTAAAATAAGAAGGAATCACTCATCTTTTCTTAAGGACCAGACCTCACCCCACACTCCCAAGAAGACAGTCTCTAAAGATGGATACCACCTTAAAGGCTACCAGCCCCTAAGTGGAGTCAGGATCCTCCCAAAAACAAGATATTGCAACTCTGGAATAAAGAATCACTCACCCTGTTTCAAGGGTTCACCCCACGCTCTAAAGGAAGCAGTCTCCAGGTGCAGTTGCCGCTCTTTCTGCTGACAGACCTTAAACATGGTCAGGAGCCCTCCAGAAAGTAAAATTACAATCCAGCAATAAAGAAGAAACCAATGACCCCATTCCAAAAGCAAACACTCAGCCCACACCCCAAAGGAAGCAGTCTCCGTGCAGAGTCTCCGTACAGCTTTCTACCTTTAAAAGCAGTTAGGATCCCAAAAACAGAAAGACCAGAGCCCTGCAACAAAGCATCAATCACTCACCCCAATTCCAAAGAGCAGAACTTGCTTCCAATGATCCCAAGGAGGCAGCTCCCAAGCAGAATGCTGCCCTTGCTGTTCCCAGCCCTTAAATATGGGCAGGGAGGGGGTGGAGCCAAGCTCAGCCCTATCCGGTCCCACAGGTAGATTGCTTCCACCTGTGCTGGCAGGGCTGGCCACACCCCTCACCAGGTGCTCAATCACTGCTTCAGACTGTAAACAACAACAAAAAAAGACTAATTACAAGCAGGTGATTGGATCTGCCTGTCCAGCAAGGGGAGTTTGATCAAAGGATGAGCAACAATGGCATGCATATTTTGATTGAAGTCTGTCCTCAAAAGCATTCAGTAAAATTTCTGATAGATAGGGGAGCACAAATTTCAGTACTGATAAAGCACACAAATTTCAGTACTGATACAGCAAGATGCTGAAAAGCTGTGTGTGCAGCCTCGATGGCAGAGTTGAGATTTCCGGTGTGATCGGAGCGAGCGCTGTTTGCCAAACTAGTGGGGACAGCTTGTGGCTCTCCAGTGAGAAACGTGTCGCCTACTTTCTTTGTAATTAAAGCCCATTGTGAAAACAATTCAGGATTTGACATAATCAGTGGGTGAATCTGGCACCTGCCTGTATGGCAGTGTGTGGCCTTTTGGGTCAAGTTTCAATCCCAGACTCCAAAGAAACAGGGAGACTGCAGCGTGTGCACTTTACGCAGCCCCTGTGCTCCCTGAAGCAGGGGTCGCTAACATACCACTGTACCCCATTTCTGCTGCAGCATGATGTGTGATTTCTGAACTCATAGCAGGTTTGGAGAAAAGACAAATCGTTTCCAGAACAGACTCCCCACATAACTCGTTGTCATCTGGTTTGGAAACCAGATGGAAGGTGATGATTAACAATCGATTGTCGGTGTCTGAAAGCTTATACAGCCCCGCTAAGAGCTGCTGTCCCAAGCCTTGCTTACTTGGCAAGCAAGTTGGGGTGATGCCATGGAGTGATGCTGGGATGACACTGGGGTGAAGTTGTGGACTGAGCCTGGAGAGTGACGCTGGGGGGTGATGCTGGGGTATTGCGGGTGGGGGGTAGGGGAGGGGGGGGAATTCAGAAAGAGAGAGATACTCGATGGAGACACTGGGGTGACTTAGTGTGATGCTGGGGGGTGACATTGTTGGCACGACTCTGGGAGTGACATTGGGGTGACACTGGAGAGTGATTCTGAAGTGTCATTTTAGTGGCATGGGTTATGTTGGGGCTTTTGGGGGAGGAAGGGTGGGTGACATCAGGGAGTGAACGCTGGATGGTGACGTTGTTGGGGTGTTATATTGGGGACCTAACGGCCCCTGACTGAAGAATGATCCTGGAATTGAATAAGGTATTTTGGCAGTTTTAAGGGAGTTGATATTTGTGGCTGTGGCTGCAAATGTTTTGTAGAGAGAGCTGTCCTTGGTATTTGGTCTTGTTCTTGCGAAGACTTGTTTTGCAAGCTGATGTTCCAGCTGGGCTCTTGTATGGGAACTGCTGAGTCATGGCCTGAACCTCTGATTGATCACCTGAGGCGAGCCATGAGGCAGCCAGAGGAGCACAGGTGAAGGCAATTCTTGCGAAGACTTGTTTTGCAAGCTGATGTTCCAGCTGGGCTCTTGTATGGGAACTGCTGAGTCATGGCCTGAACCTCTGATTGATCACCTGAGGCGAGCCATGAGGCAGCCAGAGGAGCACAGGTGAAGGCAATTCTTGCGAAGACTTGTTTTGCAAGCTGATGTTCCAGCTGGGCTCTTGTATGGGAACTGCTGAGTCATGGCCTGAACCTCTGATTGATCACCTGAGGCGAGCCATGAGGCAGCCAGAGGAGCACAGGTGAAGGCAATTCAATTCACCTGTGCTGCCAGAAGGGGGTGGAGCCTGGCTGCCCCCTCCTAGAGCTATTTAAGAGCTGGCTGCCAGGAGGGAAGGATCTTTGCTGGAGATCTGCTCTGCTGGAGTTTTGTGAGTGAGCCCAGGATAGGGGTAAGCCTTCTATTTATTCTCTTTTGTTGTCATAGTCTGCTTTGCCTAACTGTCTTGTTCATTTTGTGATTATAGCATCTTAAAATTCTTTGACTGTAGAGCTCTGTATCACGCACTGGCCATATGGGTACAGCATGCAAGTGGAACAAACCCTACAGACCCTGGGGAGAATGAAAGTGGGAGAAAGAGTGGAAGTGTGCTTTGAAGCAGGGGATGCCCTGCTAGTGATGCTGGTCAAATCCACTGCTGGCATGTTCCTTCTCTCTCCTTTTCGGTGGCTTGCCATCTCTCAAGGGTCAGATAGTAATAGCATACTTGCTTAGGGAGATTCTGCTTCCCACTTAATGGAATCATCTAAAATTTTAGAGTGACACTGGTTATGTTGGAGTGATGTTGGGGTATCAATAGGATAGATGTCAGGGAGTAGCACGATAGGGTGACATCATTGGGAGTGATGTTGGAGTACCACAAGGATTTAACATGAATGACTGATCCTGGGGTGAGAGCGTTGGGGTGACACTGGGGAATGACAATGTTGGAGTGATGCTGAGGGTGGATATTGTGGTGACGGTGAGGGGTGACATCAGGAAGTGACTCCAGGGTGACATTGTTGGGTTGGCACTGGTGGGTGATGTTGGGATGAAAGGGGGTGATGTGAAGGAGTAATGCTGGGGGATTGATGCTGGAGCATCCCTGGGGGGTGACATCAGGGAGTGTTGGTGCTGACATTTGGAATGAAATAATGAGGTTTTGGGAACTCAGTTTGGGGTGAATTAGCAAGGACGTGAACCTGGAGTTTGCTGTGAAATATTGATGGTTTGGGTCTGGAGTATGACGTGAAATGGGCTTTGGAGCTTATTTGGATGGCAGTTGCTCTTTACAGTTGTCACGGAGTTGACTAGATCAATCTATGTCCGTGACAGGGGCGACAGGCCTCTGCCCTCCCCCCCCCCCCACCCCAGTCCCACAAAAAATGGGAAGGAAGGAAGGGAGGAAAAAAAAAGCAGCGGCAACAATCTATGGAGGAAAACCTATTTTACTATAATATTGGAATACGAGATAACACAGTATATACAATTTAATTGAAATTGAGATTAATAAATCAGACAAGATGAGAGAGAGAGTTCCTGGGACCGATTCAAACCTGAAAAGCTTGTAACGGCTAGGAAAGCACCTCCAGCACCCACTGCCAGGCAGCAAGAGAGCGCCCCCCCCACCTGGAAGGGCCAGATCCCGTGACTTCTGTAATGTACAGGGATAGGTACCTGGGATTGGGCATTAACACTTTAATACCCCGTACACGACATGATGTTTTGATGTGGAATACTGAAACCCAAAATAAAAACAAACAAACAGAAAACATAGAACCATGACAACAGTTTCCTTGCAGGAAGAGGATAAAGAAAAGTCTGCTTTCACACAGGAGAGGATATGATATACCTTTAGCTGACTCCCACAGGGGTGTACACATTCTCCCACTATTGCTCAAGCCACCTCAGTGAACTTTGACAGAGTTTCACTGCCTTAGGATGTGTATCCATGTGTAGATGATATTTAATTGCAAGCTCATACTCCGGAAAGGTGGGGGAAGTGGCAGCAGCACTAGATGACTGAGAATTTGAGATACCACCTGCAAACTGTCAGGGACTAAGTAAAGGAGTGAAACTTTAACGCAGCAAAGGCCAGCAAAATTGTGCAGACTTGACTGAACCAAAGCGGAGATATGGGAAACCAGTGTGAACAGAAGCAAAGCTGTGCAAAATCTTACAAAACCACGTGAACTTCATGGAATCTCAGTGAAGACCAGTGATCCTGCAAAGTCTTCAGTGAACCAGGGTGGACTTCTGCAAAGCCCAGTGAAGATCCACAAGCCTGTACAAAAATACTGTGAATCCGCATGGACAGTACAAGGAACCCAAGTGAAAACCCACAACATCGTGCGTCCTTTGGTTTATTCAGGTTTGTTATCTGGCAATGCAGCCCAGCTGGATAAGGCTCTTGTAGACTGGTAGTATTTTCTTCAGGAACACTGAAATCTGAATCAGTGGGACATCGCTTATGATCTATTATCCAACTCTTATCTTCTCCTCCCCTGGTTTCTCATTGCCTGAGCACTTCAGGTTCACAGAAGATGAAAATGAAAAGAAAAAAGGAAAAGTAAAATGGAAAAAAAAAAAAAAAAGGAAAACGGAAACAAAAAAAGGGAATAAAAATGAAAAAAAGGAAAAGGAAAGGAGAAAAGAAAGATGTAGAAAAAGAAAGAAAAAGAAATAGCTAGAATTATTAAAAGGAACATTATTAGAAATAGAAAAAAGAATTTGAAATACAATGAGGACAGGAAAAAGGTGAGGAAAAGACAAAATAATTGGAATTGGGAAAATAAATAGAAAACGAATTGGAAATAGAAGAAGAATTGGAAAAGGCAGAGGAAAAAGAACTGGAATTAGAAAAAGAATTACAAAAATAAAAAGGAAAAAGAAAACCAATTAGGGAAAAAAATATTAGAAAAGGAAAAAAATCAAAAGAATATGACAAAGAATTAGAAAAAGAATTAGGAAATAAGACAAAAAGAGTAAGAAACAGAAAAACAAGAAAAGGGGAGAAGAAAAAGGCGAAGAAAATATTATAAAAATAATTCGAAATAGAAAAGAAAGAAAATAATTAGAATTAGAAAATGAAAGAGAAAAACAATTAGAAAAAGAA